ACAGGGACAGGCTGGATGGGACACGGGGACACTTTTGGGGGACACGGGGGTGACAGGGACACCCTGAGGGGGACATGGGGGTGACACTGACTGGGACTCGGGGGTGGCAGGAACAGCCTGGGTGGGACACGGGGACACTTCGGGGTGGGACAGGGGGGTGACAAGGACACCCTGGGAGGGGACACAGGGGTGGCAGTGACCCCTGGGAGGGGACACAGAGGTGACAGTGACACCCTGGGTGTCCCCATCGCTGTCCCCATCGCTGTCACCGCTGTCCCCGCCCCTGTCCCCTCTGTCCCCAGCGCCACCACGGCTCCAGTGCCACTCCCCGCTGTCCCCAGCGCCACCACGCGTGGCTGCCACCTCCGGTGACACTCCGCGTTGTCCCCAGGCCCCGGCGACCCCTCGGGGGGCTGCGAGCAGTGTCGCAGCCCCCACGGTGGCCTCGCGGTGGCCAACGCCACCCTGGGCGCCAGTGTCACCCTGGGCTGTCCCGCGGCGGGCGCGCCCCTGGGCCGCCTGGTGACAGTGCGGTGGCACTTTCGGGGTGACCCCGCTGTCCCCGCTGTCCCCGTGTGCGCCCGGGGCCGGGGTCCCCCTCGCTGTCACCCCCCGTTCGGTGCCAGGGCCGCGCTGGTGGCCCCCGATGTCGCCGCCGATGTCGCCGCCGATGTCGCCGCCGGGTCGCTGGTGCTGCGGGACCTGCGGGGAGGGGACAGTGGCACCTTCACGTGCCTGCTGGTGGGGGACAGCGACTGCGCCTGCGGCACGGTGACACTGCGGCTGGCACACGGTGAGACCCCCGGGGACAGCCCGGGAACAGCCCCGGGACCCCCGGGAACACCCCGAGACTCCCGGGAACAGCCCCGGGAACACCCCGGGACCTCCAGGGAACAGCACCGGGACATCCCGCCCCGAGACCCCCGGGAAAAGCCCCGGGAACAGCCCCGGGACCCTCCCCCGGGACCCCCAGGGACCCCCGGGAACAGCCCCGGCGTCACCCCAGGAACCCCGCCCTGAGATACCCCCCGGGACCCCCAGGGACCCTCGGGAACACCCCGGAACCTCCGGGACGCAACCGGGAACACCCCCAAGACCCCCGGGAACAGCCCCGGGAATATCCCCGGGACCCCTCCCGGATCACCCCTGGGACCCCTCCGGGACCCTTCCCCGGGACCCCCAGGGAACACCCCGAGATCCCCCCTGGGACCCCTGGGGACCCCAGACCGGGAATTCCCCCCGCGACCCCCACCCTGGGACCCTCACACCGAGACCCCCGCCGGGGACCACCCCCAGGAACACCCCGGGACCCCCCTCGGGATCACCACGGGACCCCCGCCCTGAACCCCCCCGAGCGCTTCCCCCGTTTTGGGTCTGGGGGCTTGATGGGATGTGGGAGGGGCTCGGTGGGATTTGGGGTCTCTCCTGGGGGGTCTCTCTGTGGGATTTGAGGTCTCTCCTGGGGGTCTCTGGGATTTGGGGTCTCTGTGGCATTTGGGGTGCAGCCCCTGAGGGTCGCCCCTGTCGCCCCCCCCAGGTGTCCCCTGCAGCCCCCCCTGCTCCGGGGCCCCCCCGCGCGGTGGCCGCGGCATCGCCGCCATTGTCACCATTGTCACCGCCGTTGTCACCGCGGGTCTGCTGCTGCCACCGGCCAGCGGGCACTGACCCCTGTGTGTGTCCCCATGTCCCCATTGTCCCCATGTCTCCAATGTCCCATCCCAAATGTCCCCAGTGTCCCTGTCTCCGTGTCCCCAGCATCCCTGACCCTGCTGTCCCCGTGTCCCCAGTGTCCCCAATGTCCCCAGTGTCCCATCCCAAATGTCCCCAGTGTCCCCAGCATCCCAGACCCCGCTGTCCCCGTGTCCCCAGTGTCCCCAATGTCCCCAGTGTCCCATCCCCGGTGTCCCCAATGTCCCTGACCCTGCTGTCCCCGTGTCCCCATGTCCCCTATATCCTTAGTGTCCCCATCCCAGTGTCCCTAGTGTCCCCAGTGTCCCATCCCCAGTGCCCCTGGCCCCACTGTCCCCGTGTCCCCAGTGTCCCCAGTGTCCCCTCTCCGGCCGGGCAGGGTCCCGAGCCCAGCCTGGGCTGGCCCTGCCCTCGGGATGTCACCCGCTGTCCCCAAGGCGCTGGCAGGACCCGTCCGTGTCGCCGAGGGTGACCCCGGCCGTGTCCCCCCCTCCCCCGCGGTGTCACCCGCCTGGGGACAGGCTGGTGCCACCTCAGCAGCCAGAGCCTTCCCGCATTGTGTCCCCAACAATGGCAGCGCCACGCGCCGGGGGCCCTGTCCCCTCCCGGGGGACAGCGGGACACGGGGACAGCGGGACACGGGGACAGGCGGCCATGGGGCAGCGGCACCGCGGCTGCTGACGGCGGGTGAGTCCCCGATGTCCCCGATGTCCCCAAAGTCTGTCCCCAGTGTCCCCACCCCTGTGCCCCCCCCGCTGTCCCCACGGGATGTCCCCCATGTCCCCAGAGGTGCCACCCCCATGTAGCCCCTTCCCCCATGGGTGTCCCCAGCGTCCCCTGGAGATGCCACCCACGGTTACCCCCATGTCCCCAGAGGTGTCCCCATGCTGTCCCAGTGTCCCCCACAGATGCACCCAGGGCTGTCCCCGTGTCCCTGCCACTGTTCCTGCCCTGTCCCTGTGTCCCTGCTGCTGTCCCCACGCTGTTCCCACACCTGTCCCCACGTTGTCCCCTAGTCCCCATGCTGTCCCCACGCTGTCCCCATGTCCCCAACCTCTCCCCGTGTCCCCACGCTGTCCCGTGTCCCCCAGGCTGTTCCCACATTGTCCCCGTGTCCCTATGCTGTCCCGTGCGTGTCCCCATGCTATCCCCACGCTGTCCCCACGCTGTCCCTGTGTCCCCAACCTCTCCCCGTGTCCCCACGCTGTCCCTGTGTCCCCAACCTCTCCCCGTGTCCCCATGCTGTCCCGTGTCCCCCAGGCTGTCCCCACATTGTCCCCGTGTCCCCATGCTGTCCCGTGCGTGTCCCCATGCTATCCCCACGCTGTCCCGTGCGTGTCCCCACGCTGTCCCGTGTCCCCAGGATGTCACCGGGGGGGTTGCTGTGCGGGGCCAGCGGCCTGGCCCTGCTGGTGGCCGCCACCGCCACCCCGTTCTGGCTGCAGCGCCGGGCACCGGGGGGCGCTGCCAGCCTGGGGCTGTGGCACGGCTGCCTCGGGGGACAGTGCCACCCCCACGCCACCACCCCAGGTACGCCGCGGGGGGGGGACGCGAGGGCGACATTTGGGGGGGCTCCATCCTTGTCCCCAACGTCCCCACCCGCGGGGATCCCCAGAGCTGTCCCCACGCTGTCCCCCGGGGGGGGCACGGGGCGGGCACTGGGGGGGTCACCCGCGTGTCGCCGCGGTGTCCCCACGCCGTGTCCCCCCCCAGCGCTGCTGGAGGCCACGCGGGCGCTGCTGCTGCTCTCGGTGGTCGCCGCGGCCGGGGGGCTCGCCCTGGGCCTGCCCGTGGGCACCGGCGGGGCCCGGCGGGAGCGGCGACGAGCGGCCGGGGCCACCCTGCTGCTGGCCGGTACGTGGGGACACGGGGACACCGGGGACACCGGGGACACGGGGGACACGGGGGTGGGGACTGTCCCCAGAGGCGCAGCGCTGGGCTGGGCGGGACGGGGATTTGGGGACATCGGGGCTGTCCCCTGTCCCTGCTGGGAGTGTCACTCCCCGTGTCCCCATGCTGTCCCGTGTCCCCCAGGCTGTCCCCACATTGTCCCCGTGTCCCCATGCTGTCCCGTGTGTGTCCCCATGCTATCCCCACGCTGTCCCGTGCGTGTCCCCACGCTGTCCCTGAGTCCCCACGCTGTCCCGTGCGTGTCCCCACGCTGTCCCGTGTCCCCAGGATGTCACCGGGGGGGTTGCTGTGCGGGGCCAGCGGCCTGGCCCTGCTGGTGGCCGCCACCGCCACCCCGTTCTGGCTGCAGCGCCGGGCACCGGGGGGCGCTGCCAGCCTGGGGCTGTGGCACGGCTGCCTCGGGGGACAGTGCCACCCCCACGCCACCACCCCAGGTACGCCGCGGGGGGGGGACGCGAGGGCGATATTTGGGGGGGCTCCATCCTTGTCCCCAACGTCCCCACCCGCGGGGATCCCCAGAGCTGTCCCCATGCTGTCCCCCGGGGGGGGCACGGGGCGGGCACTGGGGGGGTCACCCGCGTGTCGCCGCGGTGTCCCCACGCCGTGTCCCCCCCCAGCGCTGCTGGAGGCCACGCGGGCGCTGCTGCTGCTCTCGGTGGTCGCCGCGGCCGGGGGGCTCGCCCTGGGCCTGCCCGTGGGCACCGGCGGGGCCCGGCGGGAGCGGCGACGAGCGGCCGGGGCCACCCTGCTGCTGGCCGGTACGTGGGGACACGGGGACACCGGGGACACCGGGGACACGGGGGTGGGGACTGTCCCCAGGGGCGCAGCGCTGGGCTGGACGGGACGGGGATTTGGGGACATCGGGGCTGTCCCCTGTCCCTGCTGGGAGTGTCACCTCTGCTCTGGGCTGTCCCCTGTCCCTGCTGGGAGTGTCACCTCTGCTCTGGGCTGTCCCCTGTCCCTGCTGGGTGGGAATTTGGGGATCATCAGTGTCCCGAACTGTCCCCGTCCCTCTTCTATTCCCACGCCTGCCCCAAACTGTCCTCTGTCCTTCCTGTCCTGAGCTGTCCCCTGTCCCTTCTGTGAGTGTCACCCCTGCCCCGAGCTGTCCCCTGTCCCTTCAGGGTGAGAATTTGGGGGTCATCAGTGTCCCAAACTGTCCCCTGTCCCTGTTCTGTTGTCACTCCTGTCCCTGCCGCCCCTGTCCCCGCTGTCCCTCCTGTCCCCGCTGTCCCTCCTGTCCCTCCTGTCCCCGCTGTCCCCGTCCCCTGACCCGCCGTGTCCCCAGGGCTGCTGGCGCTCTTGGGGCTCGGGCTGGGCTCGGGGGGGTCCCTGGCCCTGCTGGGCCCCCCCCGCAGCTCCTGGAGCTTCTCCTGGTCCTTCATCCTGGCCTGGGTGGCGGCGGCGCTGCTGGGCTCGGCCGGTACCGGCACCGGGCACCGGCACCGGGGGACGGGACGGGGACGGGAACGGGAACGGGAACGGCGGGGGGGAAACGGCAATGGGGGGGAAACGGGAAAGGCACCGGGGGAAACGGGAATGGAGGGGGAAATAGGGATTTTCCACATCTGCTCCGCTTCCAAGGATCCGTCCCCGGAGAGCTCCGAAACTGGGGGGTCCTGAGGGGGCTCCCCGTCCTCCCCCCAGTTTTGGGGTCCCCCCGGGTGTGCTCAGCTGGGTCTGGCCTCTGCTGATCCCCCCCCTTCCCGTTCCCGTTCCCGGTTTTATCCCTTTTCCCAAATTTTGCTGTGCCAATAAACGCCTCCCCTCTCCCCCAACTCCCGGTGGGTTTTCCTGTGGGATCCGGGAAATTCGGAAATCCCAAAACTTTTGGGGGTGTCGGTGTCGGCCCCCAGGTGTGCGAGAAGGAACTGGGATATGCGGGGGGGGGCGGAATGTGAAGGACTGGGGGGGCACTGGGAGGGACAGGAATGGACTGGGAGGGACACGAGGGGGCACTGGGAGGGAAATGGGGGTCACTGGGAGCACTGGGGATGCCCTGGGGGGGTCACCGGGGGCACTGGGAGGTACCATGGGGGTCACTGGGAGGTCCGTGGAGGGCACTGGGAGCGCTGGGAGGGGGCGCTGGGAGCACTGGGGGTGCCATGGAGGGCACGGGGAGCACTGGGAGCACTGGGAGCACTGGGGGTGCCATGGAGGGCACTGGGAGCACTGGGAGGGGGCACTGCCCCCCGGCCCCGCCCGGCCCCGCCCCTGCCCCGGTCCCGTCCCGCAGCCGAGCAGCACCGGCCCCTCCGCCGCCACCGGCCCGGCTCGGCCCCGGTCCCGCCCGGTCCCGGCCAGGCTCAGCCCGGAGCCCCTCGGTGCGTCCCGGTTCCGCCCGGTTCCGCCCGGAGGCTCTGCCCGGTTGTACCGGCGCTGTCCCGGTGCGTGCCGGGCTGTCCCGGCGGTGCCGGTGGGGCCCGGTCCGGCCCGGATGGTGCTGCCCGGGGGCCGAGCCGCGCCGTGAGCCCCGAGCGCTCCGCATGGACCCCCGCGGGATGCGGCCCGGGCCGGCCCTGCTCCTGCTCGGCTTCCTCCTCGCCGTGACCGGTAAGGGGCACGGGGCACCGGGATAGGCACCGGCACCGGGATAAGCACCGGGACGGGCACCGGGACCGGCTGCGGGTCGGGACGGGGCCGGGATGGCAGCGGCGGCTCCCACGGCTCTCCCCAGCCGGCACCGACGGTCGGCGGGACCGGGACAGCCCGGAGCTCCCGGGGGCACCGGCAGCTCCCGGCGGGGCCGAACCGGGACCGGGGGGCTGGGGGGGGTG